TAAAAGGAATCATGCACCAAGAAGACATAACACTTATTAATATCTATGCTCCTAATCAGGGAGCCCCGAAATATATAAAGCAATTACTAACAGAACTAAAGAGTGAAACAAACCAAAACACTATCGTAGTAGGAGACCTAAATACCCCACTGTTGTATTTGGACAGATCATCCAAACAGAAATAAGGAAAGGAAATCACATCCTTAAATGACACATTAGACCAACTGGGCATAATTGACATTTACAGAGCCTTTCATCCGAAAACAGCTGCTTAGACATTCTTCTCTAGTGCACATGGAACATTCTCAAGAATCTACCACAAATTGGGACACACAAATAGCCTCAACAAATATAAGAGGGTTGAAATCATACCAACTATATTCTCTGACTGTAATGCTTTGAAACTAGAGATCTACTGCAAAAAGAAAGCAGGAACAAATACATGAAAATTAAACAACATAGTACTGAAGAATACCTGGGTCAGAGAAGAAATAAAAACAGAGATCAAGAGATACATAGAAATGAATGATAATGATAGTACAACATGTCAAAACTTTTGGGACATGGCAAAAGTGGTCATATCATTACAGCCTACCTCCAAAAATAAGAATGAGCCCAAATAAATAACCTAACACTTCATCTTAAAAAACTAGAAAAAGAAGAACAGATGAAGCCTAAAGTCAGCAGAAGGAAAGAAATCATCAAAATTAGAGCAGAAATAAATGAAACTGAAAACAAAAGAACAAGAGAAAAAATAAATGCAACAAAGAGCTGGTTCTTTGAGAAGGTTAATAAAACTGGCAAACCCCTGGTTAGACTCACTAAAGAAAAAAGAGAAAGGACACAAAATTAGGGATGAAAGAGGGGAAATTACGGCATATCGCAGAAAACAAAGGATCATACAAGGATCATACTATAAAAAAGTATATAACACTAAATTTAACAACCTAGAATAGACCAGTACTTACAACCTTCCTAGAGTGAATCAAGAAGAAATGGAAAATCAAAATAGACTGATCACAGTATCGAAATTTAAACAATCATCAAAAACCTACCAAAAAGTAAAAGTCCATAACCAGATGGTTTCACCAGTGAACTCTACCTAACATTCAAAGAAGATTTAATACCTATTCTCCTCAAACTCTTCCAAAAAATTGAAGAGGAAGCAATACTTCCCAACTCATTTTATGAGGTCTATATTACTGATACCAAAACCTGGTAAGCATAACAGAAAAAAAGAAAACTACACAGCAATATCTCTCATGAACACATGTGCAAAAATCCCGAATGAGATACTAGTGAACCGAATACAGCAACATATTAAAAAGATTACACACCATGATCAAGTGGGCTTCATCCCAGAGGCACAAGGATGGTTCAACATACACAAATCGATTAATGTGATACGCCACATAAATTAAAAAATGAGAATCATATGATCATATCAACAGATGCAGAAAAAGCCTTCGATAAGATACAGCATAGCTAACATTATATGTAATGATGAAAAACTGAAAACTTTCCCCCTAAGATCAGGAAGAAGGCGAGGCTGTCCACTATCATCGTGGTTATTCACTATAACATTGGAGGTCCTAGCGAGTACAATCAGACAAGGAAAAGATATAAAATGCATCCAAGTAAGAAACGATGAAGTCAAACTGTCACTATTTACAGATGACATGATTCTCTATATAGAAAACCCTAAAGACTCCACAATAAGCAAATACAGTAAAGTCTCTAGACACAAAATCAATGTTCAAAAATCCATGGATTTCCTATACTCTAATAATGAAGTATCAGAAAAAGAAGTGGAAAAAATAATTCCTTTTACAATTGCAACTAAAACAGTAAAATACTTTGGAATAAATTTAATGAAACAAGTGAAGGACCTATATAATGAAAACTACAAAACCCTATTAAAAGAAATCAAAGAAGATACAAAGAAATGGAAAGATATTCCATGTTCTTGGATTGGAAGAATCAACACAATTAAAATGGCCATATTACCTAAAGCATTATACAAATTTAATGCAATCCCCATCAAAAGCCCATAAGCATTTTTTAAAGAAATAGAACAAAAATCATCAGATTTGTATGGAAGCACCAAAGACCCCGAATTGCCAAAGCCATCCTGAGACAAAAGAATGAGGCTGGAGACATCACTCTGCTTGACTTCAAATTATACTACAAAGCAACAGTAATCAAAACAGCATGGTATTGGCAGGAAAACAGCCACATGTACCAGGGGAACAGAATCGAAAATCCAGAAGCAAACCCATATTTACATGGGCAAATAATTTTCAACAAAAAAGCCAAAAACATACAATGGAGAAAAGAAAGCCTCTTCAACAAATGGTGCTGGGAACACTGGAAAGCCACCTGCAAAAGAATGAAAACAGACTGCTTTCTATCACCACACACCAAAATTAACTCAAAATGGATTAAGGACCTGAATATAAGACCTGAAACAATAAAATGCATAGAAGAAAACATAGGAATGAAACTCAAAGACCTTGGACTTAAAGAGGATTTTATAAATTTGACCTCAAAGGCAAGGGAAGTAAAAGCAAAAATAAATGAATGGGAGTACATCAAAGTAAAAAGCTGCTGCTCAGCAAAAAAAAACCGTCAACAAGGTAAAGAGGACAACCATCTGAATGGGAAAGCATATTTGCAAGCAACATCTCCAATAAGGGCCTAATATCCAAAATATACAAAGAACTCACACGACTCATTAACAACAACAAAACAAATGAACCAATCAAAAAATGGGCAGAGGACCTAATAGACACTTTTCTCCTCAGAAGACATACAAATGACCAACAAATATATGAAAAGATGTTCAATATTGCTAGCTATTAGGGAAATGCAAATCAAAACCACAATGAGATACCATCTCATACCTGTTAGAATAGCCATAATCAACAGTACAAGCAATAACAAATGTTGGAGAGGATATGGAGAAATAGGAACCCTCATATACTGCGGGTGAGACTGCAAATTGGTTTAGCCACTACTGAAAACAGTATGGAGGTTCCCCAAAAAACTAAGAATTGATCTACCATATGATCCAGAAATCCCTCTACTGGGTATTTACCCCAAAGCTTGCAAACTCATATCTGTAAAGATATTTGTACACCAATGTTCATAGCAGCATTA